CTTCTCTCCTTCTCTCCTTCTCTCCTTCTCTCCTTGTCTCCTTCCCTCCTTCCCTCCCTCACTCCCTCACTCTCATCCCCAAGGTTTGGCCAGGGCTGACCACACCTTCAGAAGCCCTGCCCTAGAAGGAAGAGTTTTTCCAGGTACTTTAAAATTAGAATGGACTCATGTACTCAACCTCTTTTATTTTGCACGTGAGGTTAAATGACCACTGAGTCACAGTTAGTGATAGAGCTAGTACTAGAATCCCAGTCTCTTGTAAGTCAATCTTTAAACCATACTTGCTTCCTTCTCATTATTTGTAAATACTTAAATGGTGGTGCTTGTTGAATCTGGGACAACTAATAACCTTAAAATATTGCAGTGTATGACTTGCAGCCAAAACAGGACTTTAGAGAGAACAGTGACTTTGACACTTTCTTTCACCCCAAAGAGAAAAGGCCCAGTAAATATCAGGCTTTCCTGTATAACCAGGTAACTTACTTCTACCACTGGGAGGGCAGGTAACAGGGCAGAGGAACCAGAACCATTTTCTCCAGCATTGTTCCTTCTTGGAGAATGAGGCTCACATCTCTGGCTCTCTCCAGGCATCAGGGGCAAGGGTTCTTTTCACTCAGTAAGTAGAACCAGTTTTTTGAGTTCAGTGTTTTGTTAGACCATGATAAATGCTCTAAAACTTCAGAAAGTTAAATTACTTTCTTCCCTATTTCCCCTCAGTTACTACTCTCTTCATAATAGCTCGATAGCCCTCAATTTTGTTTTATTTTTGCCAGTCCAGTGCTTTTGCAGGTGATAACTTAAGACGGGGAGGGCAGGGAAACTTGGAGATCTGCACTTGTACCCTGTGATTCCCCTTATGTAAAGGTGCAGTTTTTTAGAAAATTAAGTAAGAAAAAGTTTTTAAATTTTATTTGTGTTTATAGATATTTAATGCTAGTTTTGGCACATCCTTGCCTAGCACAGAATTCTCTTATGCTACTCAGCTTTCCTCTTTTTCCCATTTGCTCACCTGGGTTTTTCGCTGTCCCCATTAGCACTAAGCACATTGCTTAGAAAAAAGCTGTGCGTTTGAGCTGAATCTTATCTTTACCTTCAGGAAACTTTAAACCATCTTCTCAAATCTGTTTTCAGTTTTACTCTTTTTTCAATGCTACTGTGGTACGGATATATTTTACTCACTGCCACTAAAACAAGACATGATTTGTATGTGAAGTCTTCATGGTGTACTGCTCTAAGATAAAGAAACTCTGGACTTCCAAACACTACCATTGCTCTTTAGTTGTACTTAGGGTGACCATATGCTCTGTTTTTCTGGGGACAGTGCTGGTTTACTCTTATTTTTCAGCATCCTGTCCTGTTTGCCTTGTCTCTCCCCTTTCACCCTCAAATGTCTTCATCTGTATGTTAAATTATGTGGTCTTCCTAGTCATAGGTAAGCCGTGCTTCACTTGAAATCTTTTTTGTTTTTGAGGTATAACTGACACACAACATTGTATTAGTTCCAGGTGTACAACATAATGAGTCAGTATTTGTGTACCTTGAGAAATGATCTCAGTAAGTCAGGTTAACATCTGTCTCCATACATAGCTCCAGAATTTTTTTTTCTTGTGATGAGAACTTTTAAGATTTACTCTCTTAGCAACTTGCAAATATACAATACAGTGTTATTAACTATAGTCGTCACTCTGTAGGTTACATCCCCAGGACTTATTTATTTTATAACTGGAAGTTTGTATCTTTTGATCCCCTTCACCCATTTCACCTCCTCCAACCCTCTGCCTCTGGCAGCCACCTATCTGCTCTCTGTATCTGTGAGCTTGGTGTTGTTTGTTTTTTGTTTTTAGATTACACATACAAGTTAGATCACACGGTATTTGTCTTTCTCTGTCTGACATACTCAGCATAATGCCCTCAAGGTCTATTCATGTTGTCACAAATGGCAAGATTGTATACAATACAGTATCATTGTATATATATACCATATTTTCTTTATCCATTCATCCTTTGATAAAACTTCGGTGGTTTGCATATCTTGGCTATTGTATGAAACATTGATTGTGAGGAAAGGATCTGTTAAAGTAGCTGTCAGTGGAGTTTATTGTTTCTGTTGTATCATGCCATAGACTTGTGACTAATGAAATAATCCCACTTTAGCATCAAATTTCTTATTTTAGTTGTTTAAATTAATATTTATGATCATGTTATCCTGGACAGAAAGTTCAGAGCAGAAATGACAAATCCTTAGAAAAACAGTGAATTTCTAGATTACAGCTAAAAATGTCTCCTGTCTCTTATTAACTCACTCTACTTGCGCAGTACGTAAATACATATTTTAATACTTAGACTACAAAAATCTTAGACCAAGCTTTTTTTTTTTATTGATGTTTTAATAGTTTATAACATTGTGAAATTTTTGGTTGTACATTTTTGTTTGTCCATCAGCCATATACATTTAGACCAAGCTTTTAAACTGATATTACCATTTCTCCACAGTCCATCTATGGAATGTCATAGTTTCCCAATCCTAAGCTTGAACAATGGATCGGTATCAAGCCAGGCCAGCCTCCAAACTGCTGTGAGCTCTTCTAATATAAGATTGAATCACTGTCAAGTATTTGAGATATGCAGTTGTGTTTAATAATAATTTGTGTATATTTAGATGTATATAATGCTTTGTGGGACGTTATTTTGTTTGTAAGAATTTATTTTAAAGGTCAGGCTCATTTGTAACTTTTTTTTTAACGTCAATTCAATGCAATATTAGCTCCTTTGAGAAGTCATTATGGAGAAATTGGCGAATATTAGTTCTTGGGTTCTAGAAAGCTATTGTAGTGTTACCTCTTGGTTCTCTTTAGAAAGGAGGAAACTTGTTAACCAGATATTTGGGTTTTATCCACAGAGAGTTATGTGAAATTCTGAAAGTATATGGTTTTAGATACTGTGAATCTGTTGTTTTCCGTTTAGCCAGGTATCTGCTTAAATTGTTCAAACTCATGTCCTAAAGAAGAATTCATTTTGATGGTTCACGCATTCATGGGTGTACACGTGTGCACGCACACTTGATAGACTGTTAATGCCTTTGCTGAAAATGGCTACAGATTAGGAACTAGCTCTGTTTGGAATCTGCACTTCAAACATAAAGGAACCTGCAAACTTTCCCGTTTGCCAAAAGTAAAATGTACAATGTTTACAAATGTCTGGAATTTTGCACTGCCATAGGGTATGCCGAGGTTACTTTGCTGGAATTTCCCAGATTTGTGATTAGCAGAGTTGCGGTTTAGCGTATGAGGAGAAATACTGAGGACTCTAAAGCTAAACTGGAAATGAGGAGTATCCGAGGTTCAAGTGTCCCCAGACATAATTTGGGGACAGTTTTTCCAGATTGCTTTGAGACGTCCTTTCTGTTGACAGAGATTTCCTTGTTTGTCATTGCTACATTCTTCCTTTATGGAGCCACCAGATCTCTTTTCTCCTGTGGGAGGATGTCCCATAAGCATTTGAGATCTTTCGATGCAATGAACGTGCAATCCCAAGTAATGCCGTTATTGGTGAATGTGGCATTGTTAAAGCAATATTATAATAAACCTACACTTAGGCTTACTGTACCTCTGTCAAGAGCCTTTTGAATGACTGAAATGTTACAGAGAAAGAAGTGTATCTGCAGAAAGAGGTAGTTACTATTTCTTGGTAGTTTCTCTAAGATCCAGGATACTGCTTCTCCTGCAGATTGTTTTCCTTCATCCAGGATCCTTGTTTAATGTCTTCTGGGAGCACAGCTAGTTGAATCCCTCATTTCTTGGGGTAGAATGGGTCAAGGATCCTAAGAAGGGCCAAATAGTGCTATCAGAGCAATTCCTTTCCTCAGAACAGTTGCTGTAATTTGGCAAATGCTTTATTGAAAATTGACATTATCATTATAACACTGAGAGTTTATCAGAGTGTCTAATTTCTCATCCCAAGGTGTTGATTTTTTAACAGTAAGTACTTTAGTGGCAAACATTTCCCCTTCCTCCCTGTCTTACTGTTGTTCTTTTTGCCTAGGAGTTCAAAGTTTTATCTACTTCTGGATATTGCTTTCATACCAGAGGTATTCTGTATCACTCTTGGATGGTTGTAACTACAGTATCTTCAGAGAAGATTTCTCTTTTCCAGTCAGTCCCGGGGAATGTTTCTGTTGCAGAGTTAGGTGGTGGATTCTAGCATAAGGAAGGGAAGCTGTGACATCAGAGCTACTGTCTAATCAAACAACTTGTAGTTGAGGCTTCCTTTGTGTGTATGATGGAGGAACAGGGAGATTAGCTCCCCTGTTGTCTCAGCACTAAGAAATTGAAAGCAGCCATCCCTCTTCCTACAGGAGGATTATTCTTTTTTCCTATCGTTTGCCTCGTTTTTTCACTTGCTTTTTAATAAGAATCAAAATTTTCCTTTGGTTTTTTCTTTCCTCCTTTTAAAGGTAATAGAAAATGTAAAAGGGGAATAAAAAAATTTAAAAGGGGAATGAAATGTTTCTGGCCTCCTCAGCACTTGGCAAGGTAGAAGTCTTAAGCAGCCTCTGAATAGGACTCTCTCTTTAGTTTATAGCTAGGCACTGTTAAGTTCCTCTTGGATAGAGAGGAGGAGGAAGATTATTCCACCACCTTGAACCCAGTCTTGACTGGGTTAAGCCTCAATTTTTCTCACCTGTAAAATGAGTACACATTTTACCCTTTCTACCTCATAGTTTGTTGTGGGGATTAAGTATGGGGGAGCAAGTTAAAAACCTATAATTCCCTGAACAAGATATTAGAAGTTATTATACTTTTGGTAGACCAAGCTCTGGGGTATATGTTCAGAATACCTCAAGTCCTGGAAGCTGGGCACAAGCTCTCTTGATGCCTGCCTAGCAGAGCCTGCGTTGCTTCCTTTTACCCATGCCTCTAGTTCAGATAGCCTTTCCTTGGTATGAGGCCCTCGACGAGAGAAGAGTTCTGTCTCTAGGTTCTGAGAGAAGTATGTGTCAATTTGGACAGCAGATATAACTGCCTTGCTATGGTCTTGACATACAAAAATTCTCTTTCTACGTGCACTTGAGTAGATGGCGTAAAATGTACTGTCAGTATACAGAAAACGTAACGTATCTGATCGGGAGCAGCAAATATGGTTTCATAAGGTGGGAAGAAAAAGGCAATTTAAAATAACTTTTTGAATAGTGGCCAGCTCACTTAATAAGGAAAGGAGACATTTTCGTGTGTTCTTGCCTAGTCTTGATAAGCACCGCTAAGTTAACAGCTCTGTATCTTTTTGGTATTTGCACTATGTAATGCTTTTAATACCTGTTGATTCTGTTGTGCTTTTTTGTGTATTAAATATTTTCATTTTGCCATTTTGTGGTGTCATTATTGGGGAAATAAGTAATTTTCTTTGTATACAGCAAAATCTCATTTTCTATTTTTAGATACTATCTTTGGTCTGATTTAGGGACAAAGAGAATAGCTTTTGCAATAGAAGTTATTGGACTTAAAATCAACAGCAACACTTGATGTTTTCCCCATTACCTATTAGAGTAATTGTTGTATTTAACTTTTAGGTTCCCAATCCTGAAAGAATGCTCAAAATTTTACAGAGTATTTTTCAACATGAGCTAGTTAGGCAGTGAGTTGTGGAGTTTCCCCTACTAGAGCCCTTGAGAGTGAGAGAACGTATATGACCTGCATGTCTAGAGTGAGTTAAGGCAAGCCCTCTCTCTAGGCACAAGTCTGTGCTTAACTCTTCTGAGCCCATGACTGTATCAGCTTGCCCACCCTCATTGCTATGAAAGAGATTTCATATGGCAAGATGACAGATGTGCCTCTTCACTGAGTTTATATAGCCGTGCCCGGTGCAGGGTTCTAGCGCCAGAGGTACTAAGGGTTTGTCACAAAGTACATGTTCTTCACCTATATGCCAAGCATCTGCTATGGTCTCTAGCAGTGATGCTTAAACTTTTGGGGATTATCGCTCTCCCTGAAAAGCTAGTGAAACTTACGAAACCTCTTCTTATGAAAAAGCACAACATTTTACGTTCACTTTCAGGAGCTTCGTTGAAGCCACTGGCCCATGGCCCTCAGGTTCTGTTCCTTGGAGGGATATCAAAGAAAAGTGAACCTGCTCACAAAAAGCTGCTAGCCCACATGCTTTTCAAGAGGTCCTTCCCTCGTAGCTAAGTCCATTGAGGTGAGGGAAATGTCCGGTCAGTTGTCCTGAGCTTAGGGCCACCACATAGTTGGCGCAGATTGGTGCATACTGCACAGCTTTTGGGGGCACCCTTCATAGGCTGCCATATAAATGATATCCCCTAGACACATGTAGTGTCCACCTCTGTGTAGAGGCCTGGGGGTGGGGTGGGGATGATACTGGAAATCCCAGGGATAGCATTTTATTTTATTTTTATTTTTTTAAAGATTTTATTTATTTTATTTTTTCCCCCCAAGCCCCAGTGGATAGTTGTATGTCGTAGCTGCACATCCTTCTAGTTGCTGTATGCGGGACTCGGCCTCAGGATGATCGGAGAAGTGGTGCCTCGATGCGCGCCCGGGATCCGAACCCGGGCCACCAGCATCGCAGCGCACGCACTTAACCACCAAGCCACAGGGCCGGCCCGGGGATAGCATTTTAAAAATGAAAACCAAAAAAAGCAAGAGGAGCGTTAGAGACAAGAATGAGGCCAGCTTCTGTGTCCACACAACCTTTTCCACATTTTGTGAGCTCTTGAAGGTACTTTTCAATGATGCCAACTGCATAACGTGTTTTGTTTTCTGGGTTTTTGCATCCTACTCATCTTGAATCCTGGTGCTGGAGATTGATCATCTGTGTTGAACGTGGTCTTGAGGCTAGAGGAAGGCAAGCTGCAACTATTAGCTGAGCTGAACTGTCGGTAGCAGAAGCCTCGCCAGTGCTTGTTGCTTGAATTTGCACAAATCCTGTCGCTAAAGGTATAAAAAGAATTAGTGCCATTAGAAAGATTTCAGGTCAATACAGGTTGGGGAATACAGCGATACTCTTGCTATGTACATGAACTCATTTGATTAATGTTTTCCTTTTGCTTTCTTTCCTCTTCAAAATAAAGGATAGAAGTTAAATTCGTTCAATAAATACTTACCAATTGTTAATATGAGCCAGAGCCTGCTTAGTGCTGGGCATTCCATAGTGAACAAGGAAGCTCCCTCAAGTTGCCTATGGTCTAGCAATGGAGTTAGGGACATAAGACAGTCTCTACATGAGGAATCAGCAAATGAAAGATCTGAAGGGGAGAGAATGGCTTGTCTGGGGAGTAACTGGAGCCAGGGATGTGACTGGAGAAGTGACAAGAGATGGGGCTGAGCGCTGAAGGGGGCTGATGAGGGAGGTGTGATGGGCTAAGCTAATAACGACCTCATCCTGAAGGCAGTGGAGAGCCATTGAAGGCTTTTAGGCAGGAGTGTGACATGATCTCATTTGCATTTTTGAAAGACATTTTGGCTGCATTGTTGACAATAGAGTGGAGTGCTGGGTAGATCAGAAGCATGGAGAACAATTAGGCTGTGGCAGCAGTCTGGGCTGGAAATGATGGTACTCCTAAGGTAATGGCAGTGGGCCTGGAAAGAAGAATAATAGATAACATTTACTAACACTAGTAGATGCTGACTGGCATCTATTATCCCATGAGGTATTTAAGGCTTAGAGAAATTAAACAGCCTGTCCAAGGTAACTAAGAATTGCAGAGTCAGTCAGTGGTTAAAATGATCGTGTCTAAGACAAAAGTCCAAAAGACGTGCATGGATTTTAGAGAAACCAAGGTGAAGTGACAGACTTCATGAATGAATGAATGTGGGTGAGGGAAAAGGAGGAGTCAAGGATGGCTTGGGCACCATTCCTTGATGGATGGTGGTGCCATTCATTGAGATAAAGAATGTAGGTGAGGGCCGGCCCCGTGGCTTAGCGGTAAAGTGCGCGCACTCCGCTACTGGCGGCCCGGGTTCGGATCCCGGGCGCGCACCGACACACCGCTTCTCTGGCCATGCTGAGGCCGCGTCCCACATACAGCAACTAGAAGGATGTGCAACTGTGACATACAACTATCTACTGGGGCTTTGGGGAAAAAAAAAAAAAGGAGGAGGATTGGCAATAGATGTTAGCTCAGAGTTGGTCTTCCTCAGCAAAAAGAGGAGGATTAGCATGGATGTTAGCGCAGGGCTGATCTTCCTCACAAAAAAAAAAAAAAAGAATGTAGGTGAAAGTATAGATTTTGGTGGTGGTGAGGGAGGGAAAAATGGTGAGTTTAGTTTTGGATATGTTGAATTTATGCGTATGAGAAGATCCAAATGGAAATGGAGCTCAGGAGAGAACTGGGCTGTGAATATTAAGTACCCGTTATGTATCTTGTACTTTCTAGGTGCTGGAGATACAGTGTGAAGATGATGAACATGGCCCCCACTCTCATGGCTTAGTGAAACTAACTAGTTAAACATATGATATTAGTGTAGTAAATGTGATGTTGGGAGAATACATGCTGCTATGAGAATTACAGAGAGGGCTTAATTCAGTCAAGAGTTTAGGGACAGCCTAAACTGTCGAGAAGAGAGCCCGAACTCGAAGGATAGGAGTTAGAAGAGGAGGGGCAGGTGCCACAGAGAAGAGGAGACATGCAGAGGCTTTAGGTGAGGAGACAGAGGCATCTGGGAAGACTGAGAGGGTCCGTGTAGCTGAAAGCATGGAAGAAGAGTTGAGTACAATAGAGGAGGTTGGGATGAGTTGGAAGAGAGGGGAGAAAGTCTGAAACGGGTTCTCTGCAGAACTGAAGAGAGAGCAGACTAGGGCAACTTTGGCAAGACGATTGCCTGAGACTACCCCATCTCTAGACCAGGGTTTCTCAACCTCAGCACTATTGACATTTTGGGTTGGGAAATTCTTTGTTGGGGGGAGGGGCATCCTGTGCATCGTAGGACACTTAACAGCATCCCTGGCCTCTACTCACTAGATATCAGTAGGACCCCCTCCCCAAACCTGTCCAATTATGACAAAATGTCTCCAGACATTGGCAAATGTCACTTAAGGAGAGAATCGCTCTGATTGAGAGGCGCTATGCCCAGCACTGAGTGCTCCAGGAGAAGAAGAATTACCCAACTTGGCTGGTTGTTGTTACTACAGTCATGTCCCCAGCCTGGGCTCTCAGACCTACCTGGTTCTGCTCTTTCCCTAATAGTTGAAGTGATGGTTCTAACCTAGAGGACAAGAAGAAGAAGAAAGTGAAGACAGGTCGTTTAACTTCTTTAACCCTCAAATACCTCACAGGGTAATGGAATGTTAAGTCAGCACCTACTAAAGTGGTCAGTAAATGTTATCTATTGTTGTTTCGGGGAGGAGCTGGTAGGGAGCGGAGAGCCTCCAGGAAATGAAAAGAATCGTATAATAGGAGTGGACTAAGAGCAGAAAGGACAGGTCTCTATGTTCTGAGAGAGACTGATGTGCTTATAAAAGTCTTCGAAGATTGTGGTAGATTGTATTGTCAAAACATCTGCCACTTCTCTCTTCCAGGCCTGGAGAGGGTTGTGCTTCCTGCCCCACTGGCAGCAGGCTTGTCAGTGAAATGTGAATGGAAATGAAGTGTGCTATTTCTAAGCAGAGGTTTAAGGACCTTTGCTGGGATCATTCAGTGCTCCTTTCCCTCTGCATGAGGCTAGTGCACCCCAAAATGGGGCTGCTCCTTCAGTCTGGCTCCAAGATTGACGAGAGCAGGGAGCAGAGCTGCAGTTGTCCAGCACTGGACAGAGAACAGACATTGTATTGGAAGCCACTGAGATTTGGAGCTTTGGTACTACACCGCAGCTTAGTCTCAGCTGACTGGTACAGAGGTGGAGCAGTCCCAGGTGAGGGCAAGACCCAGGGATGGCATAGAGTGAATGGTTGAAGTGTCATGGAGGTAAAATTGATGTTGAGGTGGTCAAGGTCCAGTGAGGCCGCAGTGTAAGATGGGTCATTCATGTGATGTTAATATCCCCCAGGGTGACTGTAGGACTCAAGCTCTGTAGTGAGTGAGTGAAAGTGGGAGGTCAGCAGATGACACGATATAGGAGTAAAGAGAAGTCTAGGTCTAAGTCTGAAAAGAGCAGAGACGTACGTGTGGAGGGATAATGGCCTGGGTGCAGTACAGGGGCAGCCCTATCTTCTGTACTGAGTGAGGGTACATGAGTTGTGGGAAAATGGCCACCAAGATTCTTTGAGGGAAAGCCAGGTATCTATTAAGGCACAGAAGTGGAGGAAAGAGAAGTGTTTGTGGATGCAGGCAGGGGGATGTTTATCATGAAACAGAATTATAGAGTAGTAAGTAGTTCATAACTTGTTTGGGGTCAAGAGGTGGCT